AAATCAATATAAATAAATATAAAAGTAAAACTATCTAAAAGAGGCTACCCTCCTTAAACAATGTTTTGAGGATAAAGTAAAGAATTCAGTGGAATTAGATAGTACTATACTCGAAGTGAACCTATTAAACAGAAATAATATGCCTTTGCCTAAACAGAAAGATGAGGGTGGTGACTTCCCCTTCAGTTGTAGGATCAGGAGAGTATAGGCGTTCTATTCTCCCTGGACAAAACAAGCAGTTAATCCTTACAGTGTGGGCAAGCCCCACAGCAAGGGTGAACTTTTTTTTGTGTGTAGTTGGGCTTTAATTAATTGGCTGCTAGCATTAGTAAATAGAAAGGTATATAGTATTATATTTACTTGTTTTAGATTTTTTTTTTTATATTTCTTCAGTTACCTCCTGGTTCTGACCTAGACCAAAATTATGTCGTATATCCCAGGAGTCTTTATGGGCATTTTTTTCTGTCATCTGCAGGAGGGCTTTCCCAGCTAAGCACACCCCACCGTTGGCATGCCTGAGCTAGGGGGAGATGGATTCCAGGAAGTAAATGCTACATCAGTGGTCTCCAAACTACGGCCCTTTGCTTGCCTCTGTCTGGCCCTTGGGGTACTTTTCCTCCCACTGACACAACAAGGAGGCACTATTTTTTACACTGGCACCAACAGTGGGGAACCATTCCTCTCACTGACACCAAGAATGGGGCATTTTTCCTTCCACTGACACCAATGATGGGGCATAATTACACCCACTGATAAAAACAATTAGGCAGTATTACTACAACTAATACCAAAGATGGGTCACTATTCATCCCACTGACACCAATGATGGGGCACTATTCCTCAAACCAATACCAATTAAGGGGCACCATTCCTCCCACTGATACCAATGATGAGGCACTATTCCTCCCACTAATACCAAAGATGGGTCACTATTCATCCCACTGACACCAATGATGGGGCACTATTCCTCCCACTAATACCAAAGATGGGTCACTATTCATCCCACTGACACCAATGATGGGGCACTATTCCTCAAACCAATACCAATTAAGGGGCACTATTCCTCCCACTGATACCAATGATGAGGCACTATTCCTCCCACTGACACCAATGATGAGGCACTATTCCTCCCACTGACACCAATGATGGGGCATTATTCATCCCACTGTCGCCAATGATTGGGCATTATTCATCCCTCTAATACCAATGCAGGGGCGGACTGACCATTTGAGCACTCGGGCACTGCCCGAGGGCCCTGGTTCAGTAGGGGGCCCCATGAGTTGCCCCTGCTACCTTTCATTAGCTTTTTCATAGACTTTTTTGGGTATGGGTGAGGACACAGGGGCCCCATGATCCCCTATTGCCCGGGGGCCCCATGACTTGCCAGTCCGTCCCTGTACCAATGATTGGACACTATTTCTCCGTTCACTGACTACAAGCACTATGTCTGTTTTTTTTTCCCATTTTCTCTGGGACATTTTCTACTCCCACTGGACACTCTGCCCCCCCCTAAAATCTTAAGGACAATAAGCTGGCCTTTTGTTTAGAATGTTTGGAGACCCCTGTGCTACATTAACCCCTTGCCCTCCTGAGGATTTACCCCTCTTCATGACCAGGCCATTTTTTGCATTACACTGCATTACTTTTACTGACAATTGCGCGGTCATGCAACACTACACCCAAATGAAATTTATGCCCTTTTTTTCCCCACAAATTCAGCTTTCTTTCGGTGGTATTTGATCTCCTGTGCATTTTTTTTTGAGCTGTAAAAAAACCCCCGACAATTTTGAGAAAAAAAAAAAACAATATTTTTAACTTTTTTGCTATTAAACATGCGCAGTAAAAATTTTTAAAATCAAATGTGGTCATAAATTTAGGCCAAATGTATTCTGCTACATCTTTGCTAAAAAAATCCCAATACGTGTAAATGAATTGGTTTACAAAAATATAGCGTTTACAAATGGTGGTATAGATACTGGAATTTTTGTTTTTACTAGAAATAGTGGCGATCAGTGACTTACAGTGGGACTGCGGCGAGCATTCTGACACTGGGGGGGGACTGACTTGGTGTCACTGACATCCCCAGTGACACCAATACAGTGATCAGTGCTAAAAATAAGCATTGACACTGTACTAATGTCACTGGGCAGGAAGGGGTTAACATGAGGGGCGATCAAAGGGTTACCTGTATGCTGTTTTACTAGGGGGTGGTGTGTTGGTGCTTCACTGTAAGCACACTGCTTTGGATGGCTATGCTTTGCACAGCCATCCAGAGCAGTGTCCCCGAGCTGATAGGGAGGATGACTGTTAGTAAACAAAGCAATTACCCGCCCTGCTGGAGATGCTCCTTAATCACCAGCCGGGACCCGGTGATTGACAGCTGCGGCTGCACCCCCTACCTGGAAATACAAAATCATGTATATATACTTATTGCAGGTACTTATATAGCGCCATCAATTTACGCAGCGCTTTACATATATATTGTACATTCACATCAGTCCCTAACTCTCAAGGGGCGTACAATCTAAGGTCCCTAACTCACATTCATACATACACATACTAGGACAATTTAGACAGGGTCCAATTCACCTACCAGCATGTCTTTGGAGTGTGACAGGAAACTGGAGTACCCGGAGGAAACCCACACAGGCACAGGGAGAACATGCAATCTCCAGCCAGGTGGTGCCATGGTTGGGATTTGAACTAATGACCCTAGTACTGCCAGGCTGAAGTGCTCACCATTTAGACATTTTTTTGTTTTTGCTCTTGGGCTGACTCAGGTGCTCTATGTCACATTATACATACTTTTTTAACTTTTTAAAAAAATGTTTACTTTTTTGATGTGCATGTATATTTATTCATTTTTGTTATTTTATTATTGAATTAGATCTTCTATATCCCCTGAAGGATTTCAGTTATCCCTTGTGCTATCTGTGGAGTGTTCCTCCTGAAGACATCCAGCCATAACTGTTGCCTCTTGTCTTATGTATAAGATGTATTGGGGATTTGACGTAGCAATGATATTCTATACCTTTTGGATTTTTGTCACTTGTGTCTGTACTGATATGTATGTGTATTTCAGGTTTCCTTTCACAGAATTAATTGATATTCTCCTGAGGAAGACTTACAACTTGAAACGCATTGGACTTTTTCTTTGAATATTGAAGCAACTCTTGTTTATGATTCCAATATTGTGTACACAGCATTTAGCATTTTCTTTTATATGTTTTTAATATATTATGTATATGTTGGGGTAGGTCTAGACATTGGAGGCTTTTTTTTTACATTATATGAATACAATTTTGATCCTTTTATAATATTTTTATTGTTATGTGTTTTGGTACCTTAAAGTCCTAGTTCCCCATTTTTCCTGTTTGTGGTGATTACCATTATTTGCACGGAGTTATCCACAGAGCTTAATGAATGTGGTGAAATTTTACTTTGCAAAGAATACCCAATCAGGAGCAAGGAAAATTTTAAAAAGCATTTTCACTTGCATGTGCAGCCTGACAGGCCAGTGAAGTAAGCAGAGCGTCACCTCATTCACTAACCTCTGCGGAAAATTCCTTAAAGTGCAACTTCCTTTGCCAAGTAAATAATCTACTTGCCTTTAGTAAAATCAACCCTAATGAGTTGGGGTGAAATTTCACTTTGCAAAGAATACACAAATACGAGAAAAAAAACTGCATTTTAGCTGGAATGTGATTGGATAATGAAAGTCAGTAGCACTTCACCTCATTCATTAAGTCCTGGGGAAAATTTCCTTGTAAAGTGACCAGTCTCTTTGCCTTTAGTAAATCATCCCCAATGAGTTAACATGCTTGCTGAGAGTGAGTAGGCTGTTATAATAGCAAAAAAAAATGTATCTGTGTAGACAGAGGCATATACAAAGCAGGGACTGTAAAGGTTCATTCACACTGCAGCTCTTGCATCACCGCATGTGTGTTGATGTGAACGGACATTGTTTTTTTACAGTGATGCATTGCATTTTTTAAATGTGCTGTGGTTTTTTTTTCCCTAGCTTCAGCACAAAATCATGTGTTTTGCCTACCACATGTTGCAGTGTGTTGTGACACATTGCAAAGCCCTGTGATAACATACAAGTTCTTTTTTTTGTTCAGTGTAGACCAATGCTGTGAACTGGCACCACTGAAAACAAGGCTTGCATAGGACAATTCAGTGCAGGGGTGTGAATAAGCTCTTATGCTAGGTTCACACCTAAGCGTTTTCTGCAGCATTTTCCAGAAACACAGTACAGTCCATTTAACATGGTTTCCTATGGGACATGTTCACATCTGCGCGTTTGCACCCAATGTGTTTTTTGGAAAGGGTCAGGGACTTATTTGAACGAAAAAAGTTGCATTTTTGGTTCTATAGACTTCAATGGAAGCACTGCAGAAAAGCATGTATTGCGTTTTTTGATGCGTTTTGTATTTTAAATCTGCCTAGCAACAAGAAAAATAAAAAAATGAACCCCTCCACAAAACGTGTAACAAAAAGGCAGGTGCAAAAACGCAAAACAAAACGCAATGCAGAAATGGCTCAAACACAACCTGCTTAGGTGTGAATCTAGCCATTAGTTCTAAACAAATGGAACCCATACATTTTAACCCCACAGTCAGCAAAAACCATTACATTGAAAACTATTGTGTTGTGTGTTGCAAACACTTCCATCAATCAGGTTTCATCTGCAAATTCTCCCGATATCTTGATTTCCAGTCCTTCGTACCAGACATTAAAGAATGGGTAGATTTTTTCTGTGAACACATCATTAAATGTAAAAATATGCTTCATGGTGTCCACATTGAAAAATGAAAGCTGACCATTTTCATAGTCCAGGTAGACTCCCATCTTTCTTGCTTTGTCACGGATGGGCACATGGGTGCTATAGGGAGCGGTAAGAGCCTGATACTGATCTCGGCCCAATCGCAAGGCCCATATGCCTTCCTTAGGGGACAATCTGATCCAGCCTTTCTTTCTCACTGACTCTTTAGCGGCTCCTATGTCCCAACCACCTCCATCCAGCACTTCTGCTTCCCAGTAATGTTTGCCTGCAGTGAACCCATCCGCTCCCAGCACACAGGGGTTGGTGCTAAATCTTTCAGGGTTATCAGGCAGCTCTTGCTCCGTGTCTCCATGTTTTACATGTGTACAATCATCGGTGATTACAAGCAAAGGATGAGATGTTGTTGGATCCAGCTTTACTGGGGCTGTTAAAAAACAAAATACGGTCATCATCATTATCATCATCAACAGATGGTACAAATGCAGCCGTTACACAGCATGTGTTAGAGCAATGCTAAGCAATATTTAAAGTGATTGTAAACCCTCACCTTGTAAAACATCCAACTCAGGTTAAAATAGAAATGAAAGGATGATCACATACCTTCTGTTCTCAGCTGCATATGAGCTGTGGAGAGGAGAAACAGAGGACACTGATCTTCCCATTGAAAGGCTCTTCAGGAATGAGGGGGCGGAGGTCAGTACAAGTACAAGTCTGATCATTGGAGGAGAGTGCACCGAGTTCTCAGCATAGCTAGAGAACTGACCATGTTGTGCTCTCCTGCCTAGTGTGATCAGTTTTTAATAGGAAAACAAAGGAACTGGCAGGAACACCAGGGATTTCAGACAAAAGAAGCAATACAAAGAGAACAGGAAACTTTTTCACACAATTACATGGTACAGCAGGCACATATCAGGAATATGAAATGTTGGGTTTACATCTACTTTAAATCATGATATCGCATAAGAATTCATAGGTACCTTTGATAGGTTTTGGATGATAGCTGAGATGTTTACAGGGTACAGAGAACAGCAAAAACAAAATTTGATGAAGCATTAATCAGTCAAGCCACATTTTGTTAGCCTGTTCTAAAGTGGTTCTGAAGGCATTCCCTGCATTACAGTAAAATGATGTCTCAGTAGTTCCCTGTATACTTACCTGAGTCCTATCTCAATCCAGCACTGTGCCCGTCCGCAGCAGCACTGGTCTGTGTTCTTCTACTCACAGGACACAGAGGCAGCAGTGGGAGCCATTGGCTCCTGCCGATGTCAATCAAATCTTGTGAGGAGGTTGCTGGGCAGGGCTGAGCCACAATGTGTGTGTCTATGTATGCACACAGCTCAGATCGGGAGTGGGTCTGCAGGTGTGTCCCCATAGCAAGCGGCTTGCTATGTGGGCAGGCACAGAAGAAGAGCTGAGGGCGCCAGCGAGGGGATCCCAGAAGAGGAGGTTTGCACAGTGCAGATATCTATAACATGTTTATTTTTTTTACTAAAGAAATGTATCCTTTACAACCACGTTAAAGGATAGTAAAAATTGTGAATAAACTCAAGCACTTACTATGGTGAATACAAAATATAAATAAGTATGAATACTATAGCCGCTAGTGCACACAACCCATGTCTCAGTAGGCTAAATAATGAATAATAACAATGAAAATATGCTGCACTACATATACAAAAATGCACAATATATATGTGTAGAACAGTGAAATCAAAAAAAGAAATTATGTGACACAAAAAAATGAATTAATTAAAATTAATATTCCAAACAAATAATTATAGTCCAATCGTTTTGTTCTCCTGTGACCCCTCCTTAAGAGAACGACCACCGTGTGCATCTGTCACAGAATTCCAGTGCAAACATCCTCCACCATATATCTGCTCACCTCCAGCATTGTGACCTCACATTATACAATGTTTTGGTCTGACTGCACTTCTTGTCCCAAATGTATGGACTCTGAAGATTAAATTGCTGAATAACCGCTCCAAAAGATGCTCCCTCCAGCATCTGATTATGCGCTGGCATCGCCGAGTATCTCTGACAAGGGATAGACCTGTATGTAAACAATACAGATCTCTCCCCTGTCAGCTTCTGCACACTGTGTTGTATGGCTCTGCATAGCAGAGCCATGCAAAGCGGTGTGCTTACAGTGAAAAGCACACACAGGGCACTCAGTTATCCCTTTGATTGGCCCACATGTTAACCCCTTCCTGCCCAGTGTCATTAGTACAGTGTCAGTGCTTTTTATTAGCACTGATCCCTGTATTGGTGTCACTATGGATCTCAGGGACACCAAGTCAGTTCCCCTCTAGTGTCAAAATGCCCGCTGCAGTCCCGCTATAAGTTGCTGATCGCCACCATTACTAGTAAAGAAAAAAAATTCCAGTATACATACCACCATTTGTAAATGCTTTCACGTAATTTTCACGTAAACCAAATAATTTATATGTATTGGGATCTTTTTTAGCAAAGACATGTCGTAGAGTACATTTTAGCTTAAATTATGACGAAATTAGATTTTTAAAATTTTTTTACTTGACATATTTAATAGCAAAAAGTCAAAAAGATTTCTCAAAATTTTCTTGTTTATAGCGCAAAAAAACTAAAAAATGCACAGGTGATCAAATACCACTGAAAGAACGATCAAGTTGTGGAAAAAAAAAAAGGATGTAAATTTAATTTGGGTGCAGTGTTGCATGACCACGCAATTGTCAGTTAAAGTAACGCAGTGCCGTATCGTAAAAAATGGCCTGGTCAGGAAGGGGGGTAAGTCCTCTGGAGGGCAAATGGTTAACTTGGTAGGTTCAGCTGTTACTTTCTATCCCACAAGACTGGTTAACCACCTCTTGTTGATTCAATTATCTACAAGCCCAGCACAGCTGGACCATCTCCTCTTCTATATAAGTTGGCTCATTCCCTCAGGCTTAGCCTGAGTCTCAGCTAGAGTGTTTCTAGCTCCAGGTCCCCAAGTAGTTTCCTGGAAGTGGAGTTGCCTAGTGCCTTAATGTACCCCCAGGGTTTACTGAGAAGATTCCAAGTGATTCCTACTGTTCTATGTTCTTAGAGACTCCTAATCTACTTAGTGGTCTTGTAGCTGGGTTCTCCTTGTTTGGTATCTTTGCACCCGTGTCCTTTTGAGCAGCCCATTGTTCTTGTACTTTGTTTATCCCTGCCAGCTCTCAGCCCTGTGATCCCCTATGCATTCCAGTCTTCTATTTGTTAGCTTCCTATGTGTCTGAAGCCTCTATCAGTGTCTCCCAGTAGGTTTCTTGTCTGTTTCCTACTTTGTGTCCCTGTGTACCAATACTTGCTAGAGATTCATGTTTTCTCCTAGTTGTCCTGTGTCTTTGTGCACCTGCTTCCAGTGTGTGTGTTTCCATGCACACCTACCAGCTTTGGATGTACTCCCTACAGCTCAGTGATCCATGTGCCTCAGTGCTGCAAGGGTTCCCAGTAGTCCCTTGCTCAGGCGAGTCCTAGAACAGCAGCCTGGGGAGCGTCTGCAGCTCAATCAATCTCCGTCTAGGGAGCTCTGGAGAAGACCAGGCTGTTCCTTAACCACTTGCCTACAGGGCACTTTTACTCCCTTCCTGCCCAGGCCAACTTTCAGCTTTCAGTGCTGTCGCACTTTGAAAATTGTGCGGTTATGCAACACTGTACCCAAACAAAACTTATGGTTTTTAGACAGAGCTTTCTTTTGGTGGTATTTAATCACCACTGGGTTTTCTATTTTCTGCTAAACTAAACTGAATTTTGTAAAAAAGAAAAAAGTTTTCTTAGTTTCTGTTATAAAAATAAGTAATTTTTCTCCACTGATGTGCGCTGAGGCTGCACTGATGGGCAGCATTGATGAGGAGGCATTGGTAGGTGGCACTAATCGGCATTGACAGGCATCACTAGTGGGCACTGAAAGGTAGCACTCATATATGGTACTGTTAGGCGGCTCTGACTGGCACTGATAGTTGGCACTGAAAGGCAGCTCTGATGGGCACTGATGTCACATTGATGTGCATTGGGTGCTGGTATATGGCATTGATGGGCATTGATGGGGCTACACTGATCATCAGGGCACTGATGAGTGTAGATGTCCCCTCTGAGGAATGCCGCTTACTGGCTCTCCTCTCCTCAAGCACTGACACCGCGAGAAGAGGACTGCCGATAACCAGCATTACCTTGTTTACATTTGATCAGCTGTGATTGGACACAGCTGATCACATGACAGAGCTAATGTCATCAGTTCTTTATCAGTGATTCGCTGTGTCCCGGGGGCGCGCACGCGCAGTAAAAGTGGGAGGACGTCATGACATCCTCCCATAATGAGAGAACCACGCCCTTCTGTCATTTCCTTATAGGGCGGGAGGTGGTTAAACTCTGCACTTTGACCCTTCCAAGCCTCTGTTTCCTATCTGTACCTGTACCAGACCTCAGCCTCCCTGCTCCTCCTTTGCTGTATGTGCGGCCATGTTGGTTTCCCCAGACACTACAAATAGGGGTCCTTCCCATAACAAACTTCTCATGTACCCCAACTGTGTTCTGTGCACCTGCATTCCCTGGGACATCTGGACACTGCAGCATTCCTCATATGTATTGTTACCTCTGTGTTCTTGTACGCTTAGCATCTATCTACTCCTAAGATTCTCCTGTATTCTCTCCTGAGCCCTGCACATTAGGGCAGCAAGACTTGGTTCACACTAGATCCATTTTGCAGGCCGCAGCACATTCATTTGAATGGGCTGCTGTACCTCGCAAACTACAGGGAAAGGTCCCTGCACCTTTTCAGAAATCGCAGCCCACACTGGGAACCACACCATATTGTGGTTCCCAGCGCAGGAGCAATTTGCAGTGCGGGCAGCATGCCATTAAGATTAATGGCATATGTTTTATGTGCGGGTGGTTGCAGCTGCGGGACATTCCTCGGTTCCACATGCACTAGTGTGACCAAGGCTTAGGGTTTGTGTATTCTGTGGCCTGCCTGTAAGACCAGCACACCACTGCTGCACACTGGATGTTTTTACAGCGGCTGTTCTTAGCGTTTCATATTTTTTCCTACAGCCAGTAAACTCCCCAGCATATTATCCTATGTGTCCATACACACAGACTGTAATCAACATTTTTTGGCTGGAAAAAACCCCAGAACTAGTGGGTTTCTATAGGAGTTTAATTGGCTGTAAAAATGCTGTAATGCTGAGAAATGCGGCAAACCAGAGTTTTTTTTACTTTTTTGAGTTAAAGAAACGCTAAACACAAAAGGATGCAAAAAACCACTGAAAAACTCATGTTTTTTAGCCTGACTTTACACAGCTAACGTTACCAGCGTTATTAAAACACCCCGTGTGCATGGAGCCTTATGCAGGCCATAGACGGGGAAAAAAGCAGCCATTTTTTTTTCTTTTTTTTTAGAAAAATGAAAAATCAGTCGTTCAATCAGCCGACGTTGCCACCATTGGTAAAAAAAAAAAGTTGGCTGATTTTCGTCCTGTCTATGGCTGGCAAATATAATAGTGAAGTGTCCCTGCAGAGAGCTCCACTATTATATTTGACATTTAAAAGTATAGCAAAGTTGCAACGTTGTATCTATTTGTATCCATTTCGGATACAGATATTTCTATTCAGATACAAATGGATACAATGTTGCAACTTTGCTATACTTTTAAATGTCAAATATAATAGTGGAGCTCTCTGCAGGGACACTTCACTATTCTATTTGACATTTAAAAGTACAGATGTTCTTTTTCTTTTGTCTTCATCTTCTTCTGTTTCTTCTTTCCTCTTCTTCTTGCAGGTCACGGCTCATGCGTATTTTTTTAATCGGTAAAAAGATCGGCCGATTTGCCCATCGTTGCTGTGAAAATCGGCTGATCTGCAAACTTCGCCGATTTTTTTCCAACTTCACCGATTAAAAAAATGTGTCAGAATCTCGAAAAACTGCCGATAAATTCACCCACTAACGATCTGAAAAACGGCCGATTATTCTTTCAGATTAATGTTCAGCCGGTTTTCTCCCCGTCTATGGCCTGCATTAGTCCTGCCATTCCTGTGAGTTCTAAAAGCAAAAAATACTGCACTCTGAGTCTATAAATAAAGCAGCCAACACAAAAGTCTGATACCAGACGGCATAGAAAATTTAAAGCAAACAAGTGCAGCATTAATAATATGTACTAAACACAATAAATCAATGCATATATAAACAATTAGCATAAAACATATTACTTCTGTGCAAAGTTGCAAACAATATTAACATTGAAATTATCCCAACATGCAAGTGTCCATGCTACATACCAAGAGAATCGAGAGCACATCACTAACATTTAGTCCTCATGCACACTGGACATTTTGATAACACTGGCAACGTTAGCTGTGTAAAGTCGCGTTACATTTAGTTTTTCAGCTTTTTTTTTTAGCGTTTAGTGGCGTTTTGCCATGTTTAGTAGTGCTTTCCTGCGTTCACGGTTTTAGCTTTTTTTTTCCCCCAAAAAAAGTCCAAAAATGCAGTTTTTTTTGTGTTTTAGAGCATTTTTCAGCGTTAGAGCGTTTTTACAGAAAAAAAAAATCTCCTCTAGAAACCCACTAGTTCTGGGGGTTTTTTTCCAGCCAAAAAATGTCCTAGCCAAAAAACATTGATTACAGTCTGTGTGCATGGACACATAAGATAACATGCTGGGGAGTTTACTGGCTGTAGAAAAAACTGCCAAAAGCCAAAAACAGCCACTGTAAAAATGTCCAGTGGGCAGGAGGACTTATAGTTGATCCAGGGTATATCTGATTGCCTCTCGGGGGATCAGGAAGGAATTTTTTTTTCCCTGCAGGAGCAAATTGGATCATGCTTTGCTGGGTTTTTTTGCCTTCCTCTGGATCAACTGTGGGTGCAGGATTATAACTTTTTTTTCATGGTTGAACTGGATGGAGTTTTGTCTTTCTTCAGCCAGACTAACTATGTAACTATACACATTACAATCTGTGCTCAATCTTCATATACACATCAAAAGTCCATCATAAAGCATCCATTGTGAAAACAGTACTGTGCAGCTCACAATCCAACAATGGTACTCCGCCTCCAGGAAAACTAAAGTGCATTCAGTGTAGGCAAAACAACGGTACATACCAACTGCTTACTAGAAAAATTTGGCACTCTTTAAGTTGCCAGAAGGGCCCCTATCAAATGAGGCGGACCCGTCAGTGGGGGATTTCTCTGCTGATCCCTGCTGAACAAATGGATAACAGGTTTGTGTCCACTCCACTACTGCACATCGGGCACAGACACAGCCCGCTGTACCCTATGGGCAATTGGATGGAAACGTACTGCCTGTCCATTTCCATCCAACTGCCATCCCATCCAATCTGACAGAAGGAAGGGGAATAGATCCCCATCTGTCTTTTTTTTTGGTGGATCAGATTGGACACATGTCCGTTTACATGTGTCGCTCCATAGAGGAGAATAGAGGTTCTGATCAGGTATGCCTGAAAAACGGGCAGGCAGACCCGCTCGGAATGTCCATCTGAAAGGGGCCATACACTTATGAAAAATCCTCCTGAAAAACAGAGGCATGGGGCTCCAAACATCCTCGAGACCCCACAAATGTGCCAGAACTTACGATAAGTGAAATAATGATCTGTTCCTGGGCAGTCACAGATGAATTTCTATCTGGTCCAGTGTGACCCACTGCACAGGACCTTTGGTTAGCCTTTTTAGAAGCAGTGTATAAATTTTGTCTTTTTTTGTCAGTGTAGAAATATGCCCAGTACAACATTGTCGTCTCCTTTCCAGTGTTGTCATATTTCAAAACTGATTCTGAAAGGCTACACCATCCTTGGGCACAAAGCTGGGGTGGAATCTTCCCCTGCCTTTGTGTTACCCAGCCATCTACAGCACAGTGCAGGATAGAACCGTTAAACTGCTCGGCTCTCCCTGTCTAACATGTATGACAGTCGTCTGCACTTTATCAGGATAGGAGCTCTGTGTGCTTCCTATATACTGTGCAAAGCGCAATGAACGGCTGTCAAAGTGACAGCAGAGCTCCAATGATTACACAAGGAAAGTTGCCCTTTCTCTGTGCATTCTGTTGGACTTCGTGTAACAGCCTAGTCCTACTCTGTATTCATTTATACATCAAAGCTACAGTAGCCTTCATAAAGGCTGTTGTATTAAACCAAGAAGCAAATATATTATATTGCAGAATACCAATTCTTATATGTGATGGCTGCATTAGTTTTCTATCTTTCATTTATTTACTTTGTTTTCATCTGGTGATCCAGCCAGTAAGTCTGTTAATTTTCAACAGAACACGCTCTCTTCCAAATGTATCAGACAAACACAAAGCCCACAGGCTGAATCCGGCCTGCCAGGCCATTTCATGTGGTCCTTGCACCTCTCCCACAGCTGCGGCACCCCCCCTTGTCTCCGCCCCCATCTTGTCTCAGCAGTTGGCAGCAGAGAGGATAGATCTCCTCTGCCAGGTCCTGCACTTCTCTATGCAGCTGTGGAGAGGCCCCTCTCTGCCCCCCCCCCCACAGCTTTTTGGAGACTGCTTAGACAGGGCACCGTGGCAGAACCATGCACTGTTTGAGCGGTCTCCAAATAAAGTTTCATATAGATGATACCAGCGGTGTGCGACCCTCCTTTTCAGACTTGCATCATCTGCTACAGGAGTGTGGGTGGGCTCTGTGCCGCTCTCCAGCTCCCCTTCACAGCTTAAGTCTTAAGTTATTACTAAAACCAGTAATAATCAAATGCAGGGGCAATTATTTAATATGACAAAGAGTAAATACATTTATATCGTCTTACAAATACAAACAGCCCTTTGAGGGCAACCATAATGCTGATTCGGCCCACAATGAAATTGAGTTTGACACCCCTGATTTACAGTGCTGAGACAAACCAATTACCACTGACAAGTGCGCTTACAATGATCAGCTTTTATCTATTCATGTAAAACCTTTATCCCAAAATGAAAAAAACTGTTGCTTACTTTTAGGCACACTCTGAAAACTCATCTCTTCAGGGAAGCCTACCCCGACCCCAGCTAACTACTGGAACCCCCTACTCCCCCTGCCACTCCATCCCCCACAGCTAATTACCTCTTGTATCACTATCTCCTCCCTCCTAGATTGTAAGCTCCAAGGAGCAGGGCCCTCTAATCCCTCTTGTATTGAACTGTATTGTTGCTCTCCCTCCATAATATAAAGTGCTGAGCAAACTGTCAGCGCTATATAAGTCCTGTATAATAATAATAATAACTATTGCTGTAACTGCTTTTGTATCTGCAGTGTGAGCTAGAGCTTGGCTAGTATATCTAAATCTGCTAGTACATATAACACTCCCCTCCTCCAAAATTAACTGTCCTGCTGTCCAAAGGTGTCTCTGTGCTCCTTCATCCAGACTGCGGGCACAAAATACAGGAGGTGAAGGCCAGCTCACCAAATGAATTAAAAGGGGAAAAATACCTAAAAAAGAAAATTAATCACTTGCCCTCTAGAGGATTTACCCCCCTTGCTGACCAGGCCATTTTTTTGCATTATGGCGCTGCGTTACTTTAACTAAAAATTGCGCGGTCATACAACGCTGCACCCAAATTAAATTGACGTCCTTTTTTTCCTATGAATAGAGATTTCTTTCGGGGGTATTTGATTGCCTGTGTGTTTGTTATTTTTTTTGCATTATAGAAAAAAAAAAAACCTGTTTGAGGAAAAAAAAACAGTATTTTAGACTTTTTGCTATAAAATATGTCCAGTGAAAAAAATAAAAAAAAATCAAATTTCGTCATAAATGTAGGGTAAAATGTATTCTGCAACATGTCTTTGCTAAAACAAATCCCAATACATGTAAATTAATTGGTTTAATTGAAAGTTCTAGCATCTACAAATGGTGGTATATATACATTTTTTATATATATATATACACACACACACACACACACACACACACATAGGGGCAGACTGACAACTCCTGGGCCCCCGGGCAATAGGGGATCATGGGGCCCCTGTGTCCTTGCCCAAACTCAAAAAAGCCTATGAAAAAGATACCAGGGGCATCTCATGGGGCCCCCTACTGACCCCGGGTCCTCGGGCAGTGCCCGAGTTTCCAAATGGTCAGTCTGCCCCTGCACACAGTATGTGTGTGTGTGTGTATATATATATATATATATATATATATATATATATATATATATAATTTTTTTATACTAGTAATGGTGGCGATCAGCGACTTATAATGGGACTGCGGCGGGTATTCAGGCACTGGGGAGAACTGACTTGGTGTCAATGATGTCCACAGTGACACCAATACAGTGATCAGTGCTAACAAAAAGCACTGACACTGTACTAATGGCACTGGGCAGGAAGGGGTTAACATGTGGGGTGATCAAAGGGTTAACTGTGTGCTGTTTTAATATAAGCTGTGTGTGTGCTTTCAGCTGTATGGCTCTGCTTCAGTGGTTCCTAGGATGTCCACTTCTGGATGTTTCCAAATCAAGGCAAAGCATGCAATGCGTGTTTGGGTGCCATTATTCTTAATAGCACCCCCAAACGCGATGCGACTCTGCCAGGATTGACGCATGACAGATTTGTGTGGCAATCACAGCAAAATGCACATTTAAAATTCATGCTATGCGTGTTGCCCAAAAAGGAGTAGTAGCTTCTTTGGGTGACAAATGTGCATAGGGCAGACCACTGGAGTGAATAGCCTGCCCCATGCGTGACACACGTTTCCAACGTGTAAATTGCACTTTAAAAACCTCTAGCGGGAATGCTGGTCCCCACTATATGAAGTCTGAACAGGGCCTGATCATTTAGAGGTGCAAGCTACATTCGTATCAGCTCTGGTGGGGGCATATTTTGGTGTTCATGCCTTGGGTGCCAGAGGACCTTGTCCCAGCATTGTTGTTGGGGGTCTCTTTAAAAAACATTGACAAAATGAATGTTATAATTTTGGCAGATACTGAATGTTAAAATTGTAATGTTGTAGTAAAATGAGAAATTGTGAAAAATCTACTGAAAAAAAATGGTACCTAGTTGCTGTTTTCTCTGCAGCTTTTCTCTATTTTATAATATTAGGCAACTCCAGATCGAGGCTTTAGTTAAAATGGGCAAAAACATTTCTCTACTCATAAACAGGCTCTTTAGATTTGTCTATCATAAAAGCAAAAAGAAAATCAAGTTACAATGAATTCTATAAGTTTTTTTTGCGTACTCACTTTTGTAGTTGTACCGTTTTCTCCACTCTGAAATATACACATAAAAAGAAAAATGCTTATAAACCTAATCAGAGTTGATATAAAAAATGTTAAAAAAGGTTGCTCTACTCACCAATCTCTGCAGAGAGGTCCTCTGTTGAAATACAGAGATGAGAAATAATAAGTTTCTGTACTTCATGACATTTAAAATGAAATCACCACAAGTGCCATAATCATTCTTATGGCAATATTTATGGAATTTAATACATTACTGAATTTTTTAATGCCAATTAGAAAATTGTTAATATACAGTATACGTGCACTATACCTTTTTATTCTTTTTTAAAGAATTACAGACAGATTTATTCTCTCCAAACCGTGTGACTACTACTCATTCCCCCACTATGTTTATCTTCCAGATTATAGCAAGTCCATTTTTCATTTAAGTATGGGACTGTACAAATCCACAAACAACCATTCTAATTCCACTCCACCATATCCATCTGATTAATCATGATAGTGAAGAAAAACCACAAAGCTGAAGTGTAGAAAGAAAATTATGGCCTGCGGCCCCATTTTATTGGGGGTTTTTAAAACAAATATTATGACCTTTAACCTCTGTTGTACCATACCTTTTTAAATTGACCACACAGACTAATACCACCATTAAAACTTTAACCAAACTTCCTACAATGGATGCTGTACCACTTATGTTGGAAATTCAATAAAAATGTAATATGTGAAATGAAAAGAAAAAAAAACTTCACCACACAAAAAAGAATTATTCTTAACAAATTAATTGAAGACTATGTTGCAAAAATGAATACAACCCAACCCCAATGAAAGTCTTAGGAGCAAAGTTAAATTTTAGACAGCACAATTCTATTCAACAAGAATTCAACTACAGGTGAGTCTAATTATTCATTAAACAGGTGTCCAGAAGACAGTGGATTATAAAAGGGTGTTACTTAACAAAGAAAACCCCTTCCCATTTCATGCTGTCAGCAATGGCACCACAAGGAAGAGAAATGTCACAAGGCCTGAGAAAGATAATCATTTCTGTACACAAGAAAGGTGAAGGCTACAAGAAGATCAGCAAAGCTTTACTTATCAGTCAGATTACTGTAGCAAAAGTGATACAAAAATTTAACAAATATGGAACTGCAACCATTTCACAGAGACATCCAGGCCGTCCATGTACGTTAACACCTCGACAGGAACATCTTCTGATGAGAAGGGTTGAAGAAAATTACCATGCCAGTTCACTGCAGTTAGCTAAAGTAGAAAGCCAAACTGAGGTGATTGTTTCTTGTGACACAATATGGCGTACACTGCAGAGGAATGGCATGCATGGGTGTCATCCACGAAGAAATCCTCTCCTAAAACCCACGCACAAAAAAGCTTGCCTAGAATATCTTAGGGCCCCTGCTGAAAAAGAAGACTACTGGGACTCTGTACTCTGGAGTGATGAGACCAAGATAAATGTTTTTGGAACTGATGGCTTCAAATCTGTATGGCGTCGCAAAAGGTGAGGAGATCGAAGAAAATGCATGGTGCCTAAAGTGAAACATGGTGGTGTCAGTGTCCTTCTGTGGGACTGCATGAGTGCTGCTGGTGTTGGGCAGCTGCATTTCATTGATGGTATTATGAATTCACAGATGTGCTGCTACATATTGAAAGAAAATATGCTACCATCACTCCTTGTCCTTGGTTATCCTACACTTTTCAACATGACAATGATCCAAAACACACATTTAAGGCCATTGTTGCATTTCTGAAGAAGAACAGGGGGAAAGTGATTCAGTGGCCAGGTATGTCTCCTGATCTGCACCCAATCAAACACCTATGGAGAATTCTGAAGAGACAAGTTAAGCATCACTCTCCATTGATGATCCAAGGAGGTCATTCTTGAAGAATGGAATATGTCGCCAACTTGTTCATTCCATGCCTAAAAGACTTGGTGTTGTCCTTACAAATGATGGAGATCATACAAAATACTAGATGTAGTAGTTTTTGTTGTGGGGTGTATTAATTTTTGCATCAACTAATTTGAGTAAAACTGAAAATTTTGTAATTTAAATTATATTATTAACCTTACTTTCATGTAATGAGCTAAGCAAATGTTCTATAAAACAGTTTTGTCAAAATTTGGAAATAGTTTTTGCTTTCATGTTTTCATGAGATATTCATAAAATCTTACGTCTCAACAGGGGTGTACTCATTTATGCTGAGCACTGTAAATCCATCATTTGTACTACCACTGCTAAATTATAGATCCCCCAATGCTGCTGTAAGCTAAACAGTGCAGAGGATACTCTAATTATCATTGATAATGACAATTCCTAGGATCATTAGCTATTGGTTTCCATACAGCAACTAGGCATTTTGGTGCATGAACTGGTAAATGTGGGGCAAATGCAGTAGTTTGCGCGGTCTGCTAGCAAGTTATTTGCCTTGTACCCAAATCTGTGCAATCTATAGACCAAAAGACATGACAAAACTTAAAAATTTAACTTGTTTGTACTTTGATCAGTGTTATGATTCTTGTGCAACGCATTGCAAAATGATTTACAAATTAAATAATGCTTTTTTTTTAAATTTTGCTAATTTCTAATAGGAAACAAAGAAAGTGAAATTCAAAATTTTGAAGAAAAAGATATCTTCTACTTTCTGTTATAAAAATATCCAATAAACTCAAAGTTAGTCATAAATTTAGGCCAAAATGTATTCTGGTACATGTCATTGGTTAAAAAAAAGAAATCCCAATACATGTATATTAATTGATTTGTTCGAAAGTTATAGCGTCTACAAACTATGGTATACTGTATATACTGGAATTTACACAACTTTTACTTCCTGACTGCTTATCACATTTCTTGAGGTGCTAAAATGCCAAGGCAGCATAAATTACCCCTTTTTGGAAAGTAGACACCCCAAGGAATTTGCTAAAAGAGGCATGCTGAGTCCATGGAAGATTTAATTTTTTTGCCACAAGTTTTTGGAAAATTACATTTTTTTTTGCACAAATTTGTCAAATAATATATTGCTTAGGTATGCCATGGCTATATGTGGAATAACACCCCAAAACACATTCTGTTACTTCTCCAGAGTATGGGGATACCACATGTGAGAGACTTTTTAGCAGCTTAGTCTCATACAGGCGCCCAAAATCCAATGACCACCTTCAGACTTTCAAAGGGCATATTTCCTCACTACCTATCACTGTTTCGGAGGCTCCAAAATGCCAGGATAGTACAAACACCCCCCAAATGAATGAGGCCACATACAACAGTAATAGAGAGCCAGTCCTGGCTGTCACTTTGATAGCCAGGCTTTGCCAGCAAGAATGGTGGGGTAAGCAGTAGTAGCAGATGAGGGAAAGGCTGTATAACATGTTCTCTGCGCAGTTTTTCATGGAGTACATTACACGCACAATGTACACTAGTGGTGATTAAACACTTGTACACGTTTGGTTTCCATGGACCAAAAAGGCACTCCTATATGCATTGAAGATTAATGAAAAGAGCTACATGGAAGCAGGTCAGAATATATAAGGGTAGAGGGACAGGGTTTTGGCAGTGGTGCAATAGGAAGAAATTCTGTTCCTACCCCGCTGGTGTTCACTAAACGGGGGCACTTTTTATTTATATGTAACTGGAGTAAAAGTTACATTTAAATTTCAGACAGTACAATACATCTTACCTATATTTTTCAAAAGAGAATCTGTAAAAAAAAAAACACATGCAAACATGAAAGAATTATTTCAGATCATTTATTAGTGGCTAACCAATAGCAAATCAAATCTTAATGTAATGGTATTACAGTGCTTTAAGAATATATATAATTATTTTATATATTTAATTAGGATATTTAGTATTTTATTAAATATTACATATAAGACATTTTTTTTTGTTGCAGTCAGCAGGTGGCGAGCTCCAAACAACAGTTGTTTTCTTATACTCTTTTGGCAGGAATGATCAACTTACACACACGCCAATATGACTCTTAAGAAATTACAGACTTTCCCTTCTTTCTTGTAGAGGGGACTTCTGGGATTTACAGTAGGCCTGGTACACACTATAAGTTTTTTTTTTTTTCGTTTTGCCCAGCGTTCTACAGAAGCTGGACAGGCTGCTGTACACACAAGCCGAATGTTGGCCGGGGTCTATTGAATATTTGGCCCGTGTGTACTAGGCTTTAGACAAATCCGCAACTCCAACCCCCCGCACTGAAGGATAAAATGCTTATTTAGTCTAGAGGTGCAAGAGTAAGGTGTAATACGTAACCTATTCCAGGCTCCCTCAATGCAACTGTTCAAGCCCTGTCACCTCAGTTGCATGCTTGCCCCCTCTATGTACAATGCACAGTTATTAGCCCTGCATTGTACATGGTGATAACGAGGGACCACTCACAGCTGGCCCATCAACCAGGGCTTTGGGTAGAAGACAACGGAGGTGGAGCCTGTTGCATCAAGGGATAGTGTAAGTAATACACCTTATCCCTGCACCCTTTAGACTACACGGACATTTAATCTTTACAGTGTGCGGGCCCCATTTCAAGGGTAGATTCTGCCTAATGCCTAAAGTTCAGCTTTAAAAAAAAAAAAGTGTTATAGGTATAGGCAGGGGTCTCCAAACTTTATGAACAAAGGGCCAGTTTACTGTCTTTCAGAGTTTAGGGGCGCTGGACTGTGGCCAGTGGGAGAAGAAAATGTTCTGGTGTTAGTGGCAGTAAACAATGCCCCATCATTGGTATTAATGGGAGATATAGTGCCCCATCACTGGTATCAATGGGAGATATAGTGCCCCATCATCACTGGTATCAATGGGAGGAATAGTGTCACATTGTTGGCATCAGTGGGAGGAATAATGCCCTTTATTTGGTGTCAGTGGAAGGAATATTGCCCCACTGTGATGGTGGGGGGAATAATGCCCCAAGGGCCAGATAAAAGCAAGCAAAGGGCCGCATCTGGTGTCATGTGTGTTTCAGCGTAGCCACTTTACTTGAAGAGTACAAAGTGACACTTCATTTATGTCAGCGTTAAGCAGTGTTTTGGACATGGTCACTTACCGACCACCTGCTGTGATCTACCAGTGAGCCTAATTAATGTGAGTATACGTGCACGTGGAAGTAAGACACTGACACTGTTTGCAGTTTGCCAACTTCCCAACTTCTACTTTACTAAAGAACTAACAGTAACATTTATAGGTCTCAAGCATATACAATGATTGGGTGAAAAGTCCCCTAAGTTTCCTGTGTTGTTCCATCCGTGTTGATATCCTCCAATCATTGTCCCCAAAACGACTCATTCCCTTTTATGGGGGGTTGTTTACGTTGAAAGGTGCTTTTTCTTCTAATGAGTCACCTCGGGTGAGACTCCGGATGAAGGCGCCATCTTAATTATCATTGTTCTGTTAACCTAGATCTGATTGTTTACTTAAGAGAGTAAGGAATTTAAAGAGCAAGAGCAGAGAGAAGCCAGACTATAAAATTGTCATTTTACTGATCATCTGACAAAACATGGATTGTCTATCACAATCCATTACAATCCCCCCTTAAAATGGCTATTTTATACCTAACTGTCCCTGTGTCTTTCTGATGTCCTAGCTGCCTGGTGCCCCCCCCCCCCGGAACTCTTTTAGGTCGCATATAGAGCCCCTAGGTGGCTAGTCCATCCCTAGAGTCTCGATGCGCACTGAGAAGGCCACAGTCAGGCACTATCTTTCCCTGTTCATAATTGCCATAACGCACTGTTTCACTTCTGTATAGTGACATGCGATCCCTTCCTGTACTCATACAGCTAATTGTCCTTTCACGTGTTTTCCTAAATCTCCTTTGCTTTTTTTTTTCGTCTATAAAGGCTATTGTTTACAGAGGTCCAGTGCACAAGTTTACACACATTTCAATGTGGCAGAGTGAGTGATTTGTTCCAATCAGATGGATCTGTCACAAGCGGATGTATACACAGTATACATGGCAACTGCAATTCCTATACATCAGTATAGCCAACTGTATACTGATGTTAAACTTTTAAAACAAAAAAAAAAAAAGAGCTGAACAAAATGCAAAACATGGTAAAAACGCGTGTAGAAAAATGCAAAACAAACTGTGAAAAGCACTGCAAAACGGACAAAAAGCAAACTGCATAGGTGTAAATGCATTGTGGAATGCTTGCAGCGTCTTACTTCAAAAACAAATCAAAAGTAAAATAGTGATACCAGCTCTGTGGACTTGCATCTACTTGCTGGATTGTTTACTGCCTGCTATGCTTACTTAAATTTAAATTTGCTAGCACATTTCTTGCATATTTATTGTAGACTGTGCACAGATACTGTATACACATGCATTGAGGGCACATACGTCATTTGATTTACTTGTCCACAAATGATCGATGCATTGAAATACTGTACATACAAAATTAAGATCATTGATCCCAACATCGACTGGGCAATTCAATGTACATCTGACCTCAAAAAGAAGAGGCTAAAGTGGAACCAAACTTAAAAAGTGAAGATTTGCTTGTTATAGGGAACATCTAGAGATGATAATTGTGCCTAAGCAGTATGCACCTTATGTCTGAAATTCTTCTTGAAAAAGAGTGGTGCACTTCATAATATGTAAGTTTGCCTAGGCTCTCCTATGCATACAACCTCATAGCTGTATACTGTATCTGCAGCGTGAAATTTAAGACACTGCCGGCTGCTAGTCTCAGGAGATTGTGCTGCTCACCATTGTCCTTACTGGAGGTTCCAACATGAGGAAGCAAAGTCATGCCTCTACCAAGATGGCCACCTCCACACAGAGACAAATTGTAGATCAAGGCATGGTAAGTTAATAATGGGGAAAAGATCGGACAATACTGGTGACTAGGTGAATAGTTCAATTCCTCTTTAATCTGGGATCAGAATACTCAGCAAGTATATGATCAGTGGTGTCTGTAGCCTGACTTGCCAGGCTGGTTTTGTGTATTCAAATCTGGTTACATTTTATGAGTTGGCTCATGTCTCATTATGCTCTTGGCTCTTCCTTAGGTATCTGTTACTTCTGTTTTCTTGTTACTTAATTGGTTCCGCACCACCCTATAGCAGACATACTGTTACAGGGTGGCACGGGTGTGCAAAATCACGAATATATACCTACCCACGCCTCCATTTGCAGACTCGGCTGTCAATCACTGGGTCCTGGCCGGTGATTCCCCTCTTGCACCCAACGATCTCCAAAGATTTCCGACAGGGGAGAAACCTGTATGTAAACAATACAGCGCTCTCCCCTGTCAGCTCCTGCACACTGCTTTGTATGGCTCTGCATAGCAGAGCCATACAAAGCAGTGAGCTTACAAGGTAAAGCACACACAGCACACAGTAAAATAGCACACAGTTAACCCTTTTATCGTCCCAGATGTTAACCCCTTCCTGCCCAGTGTCATTAGTACAGTGTCAGTTTCTTTTTATTAGCACTGATCACTGTATTAGTGTCACTGGGGATGTCCGTGACACCAAGTCAGCTCCCACCCAGTGTCGGAATGCCCGTCACAGTCCTGCTATAAGTCGCTGATCGCCGCCATTAAAAATTCCAGTATATATGATGCCATTTGAAAACGCTATAAATTTCACGTAAACCAATTGATTTACACGAACTGGGATTATTTTAAGAAAAAACATGAATGAGAATACATTTTAGCCTAAATTTATGACGAAATTAGATTTTTAAAAATTTTTTTACTGGATATGTCTAATAGCAAAAAGTCAAAAATATTATTTTTTCTCAAAATTGTCGGTATTTTTCTTTATAGTGCAAAAATAGAACCCACACAGGCAATCAAATACCACCAAAAGAAAGCTCTATTCATGGGTTGTAAATTTAATTTGGGTGCAGCGTTGCATGACCGTGCAATTGTCAGTTAAAATAACTCAGCACCGTATTGCAAAAAATGGCCTGGTCAGGAAGGGGGGTAAGTCCTCTGGAGGGCAAGTGGCTAACTTTCTCTTTAGACTGTGTACACTTTAAGTTCCCAAGTAGGTTTTCAATTTCACTGTGCCTTACTGGATAAATGAAATGACCGTTAGGGTAAAAATTGCTATCTTAGTAAATAAGCCAAAATTTTATAACCAACCCCATTAGAGACATAAAATCAGTTATATAAAAGAGATAAAAAAAAAGTATTGATACAAAGTATGTAAAGCTGATTTCAGGGCAGTCCCGAAATAATAAAATTATAATTTTTCTTCTACCCCAATTTGATACCTGATGTCTTATTTGTTTTTTCTATGGGATGATAAAACACAGATAATTACCTAATTTAACCCAGATAGGTATTCATCTGTGTTTTATTATCCCTTAGAAGAGGACTGGACTTCCATGACAACTGGGAGTCCGGTCCTCTTCTCTCATGTGCTGAAATGTAGGCTGTCTCTCCTACATCATCATATACATTCAAGCAAGAGGGGAAGTCACAAGACCAGACAACTACTGACGAGAGCAGCTTCAGGGGACAGGCAGGGTGACCTCAGGACCCTGGAGGAAGGTAGATAATATGTGGTATCTAATCCCTAGAGAATATCAGCACTAGATCCTGATAAAGGGGAGAATAAAGAGGGAATTTTAGTGACCTGGTTTTTAATTTGAATTGCCCAGAGTTGGGCTATAAGTTATGTAACATATATAGAATGTAGACTACCAAACACGTGTGCTACCTTTTCATCCATTATGAATTTACATTTGTTCCATATAAAAACTGAATATTACAACAATAAATTAAATTTGGGTAATAAGCTCACCTTTTTCTTCAAGTAATTTTTCTAAAAAATAAAATATACTGTAAATGATGAGAACAAAATTTAAATGCATAGGTGCTAATAACATGTATTCTGCAGCATAATTTTAAAGAGCAAATCCATCCATAACAAATAGTTTAACTATTTCTTGTACCAGGATCTCCTGTGTTGAGTTTCAGTACCTGCTGACTCAAAATGTGCATTGAAATGGAAATTTTCCAACCTCTATTCACATGTTGTAAATATCCTTTTTCATTATTGTTGAGTTTCTGATACCTAAAGAACAACTCTGCTATTTAAACTGCTAGTTCCCATCTGATTGGCAGTTACCAAGAAAGCTTCACTGCCAACCTGATCCACTTTGGCCAAAAGACGGCTATCTGAATCAGGGATATTGTCGCTATCTGTAATTTCCTGAGCTCTAGAAACTACTCTCATGCATTGTTTTCAGAAACTTGAAGCCGTTTATGGAGGAGCTCAGCTATGGGGAAAGATTAGAGGAACTGAATTTATTCTCTCTTTAGAAGAGATTAAGGGGGGATATGATCAACATGTATAATACATAAGGGGGGATATGATCTCCATGTATAATACATAAGGGGGGATATGATCACCATGTATAAATACATCAGTGGCTCATATAGTGAACTCGGTGTAGAGTTATTCACCCTGAGGTCATCACAGAGGACAAGGGGGCACTCTTTACCTCTGGAGGAAAAGAGATTTAATCTCCAAACACGGAAAGGTTTCTTCACAGTGAGAGCTGTGAAAATGTGGAATAGACTCCCTCAAGAGTTGGTTCTGGCCAGCTCAGTGGATTGCTTTAAAAAAAGTCCTGGATTCTTTCTTGGATACACAGAATATAACTGGATACTAACATGTCTAGGTAAAGTTGGTTCAGGGAATATCCAATTGGATTTTTCCCTTGAAGGAGCAAATTAGTTCATGCTTTGCTGTTTTTTTTCCTTCCTCTGGATCAACTGTGGGTATAGGATTATTTGTTTTTTTGGTTGAACTGGATGGACATTTGTCTTTTTTCAGCCAGACTAACTATGTAACTATGTCTACAATGATTAGAAATTAACATGATGGTGATGCTTTTCATAAAAAAAAAAAATGTTTGAAGGAAGAAAAAAAAATTGTTTCAACTAAGGCATTCATTTTTCATGTTACAAATCTTGATATCAGGACACATTTTTAAAAATAATTTTATATATTATCACAACACTAATCCATGAAATATAAACCTGCTCTATAATGAATAATTTATTGTTTACCTAAAAAACGCATCTGAATATATTTATATGGCATAAATCTTCTTTTTTACCACTTTCTATATCTATGTACTGTACACATTTATATCATTAAATATGTAGAGAACACCTGTTTTGTATATATAAAATAGGTTTAATATATTGTAAGTATATGACATAAACCACATATTTTCATGGCAATGTACACAAATTTTACCAGCATATGATGATTCTAAAATTTTCACTAATAGTTCACTTTATTTTGTATTTAGAAGATTGTGTTACATCTAGTCTGAAGAAGTCACAAAACATATTCTGGTGTTTTATCAAGCAAACCAAAAAAGTATTCTCCTAAATGGACCCAAGACTTCAAGAATCTTTAAGCTGACAATGCTAACCTAAGATGTAATGCTTCTGCAACAACAGCCACCTGGTATTTTTTTTTCTGTATTTTGAACTTCATGGGCTCATGTGCATAAACAATAGGTACATAGTACACCTGGTTTCTTATTCAAGTGTATGTTACCCCAACAATTTATATTGATATGTGTTTGTTGTACTTAAAAAGTATTCAGTTTTCCTTGCATTGCTTCCTTTGTGTGAAATACCCAGTGATTATGCCAGTACTTCTGCTTTATTATTTCAAACTGACCACACCAGGCATAGTAGCACAACCGTCTCAGCATGGTCAGTTTTCTTCTTTGCATTCTACTTGGGAGCACAGCCTGCATGTACTCCATAGGTCAGATTTCTGTTGGCAAGGCATTTTTAGATGGCTACAGTTCAAGCAAGAGGATGGACAGCCATGCAAATTAAAAAGAGAGGTCATCCATTGCAGCTGCCATGTATCTCCTATGACAGGTTACATTAATGCTTTCTTTCATGCCTGGGTATCAGGGAACACTAAACAAATCATACATAAAACGATAAGCTCAAATTTGATATAAAAGTAGAATAGGAATGAGCTTACCCTTTTTTCTTGTGATACATCTCCTGTTGCAATAAAGAAGAAATTAATATTAGGTTTCATACATAGGATGAAGAAATCTCTTATCTACAGATTTGTAAAGCACATATAATATTTTTAAAGCTCAGGCTGTATACATGAGAGCACTCTGCAATGCCAGCTTCATATGATGGAAGGTATTCACAATCACAGACATGTATACTAATTGACACCAAGTTCCTTCATTCTTATAAGTCAGGGGTCTCCAAATATTCTAAGCAAAGGGCCAGTTTACTGTCCCTCAGGCTTTAAGGGGACCGACTATGGGAGTAGAAAATGCCCTGGCATCAGTGCCCCATCATTGATTTTAATGGAAGGATTATTGCCCCATTGTTTATCAATGAGAAGAAAAGTGTTTCATTGATGGTGTCAATAGGGGGAATGGTGATCTGTCATTGGTGTCAGTTGGTGGAATAGTACCCCAAGGGCCAGATAAAGGCAAGCAAAGGGCCACATCCGGCCCCTGGGCCGCAGTTTGGAGACCACTGTTATAAGTCAATATCATCACTACTTACCATATTATTATTATTATTATTATTGTACTTGCAAATAGGCATTTTTTTTTAGCTTTTCTCTTGACAAAGTTAAGCTGAAGGAAGGCTGTATGAAAAGATACTGAAAGCTCAGTGATGTCTGATGTGTTTGTAGAATTGCAGCTATTGTACACACTGGATATTGTTATATTGTTGTTATATATTGTACACCCCGGATATTGTTATATTGTTGTTATATATTGTACACCCCGGATATTGTTATATTGTTGTTATATATTGTACACACGGGATATTGTTATATTGTTGTTATATATTGTACACACGGGATATTGTTATATTGTTGTTATATATTGTACACACTGAATATTGTTGTTATATATTGTACACGCTAGATATTATTATATTATTGTTATATATTGTACACGCTGAATATTGTTATATATTGTACACACTGAATATTGTTATATTATTGTTATACTGTATATTGTACAAGCTGATTATATATTGTACATGCTGGATATTGTTATATTATTGTTATATATTGTACACACTGGATATTGTTATATTGTTGTTATATATTGTACACACTGGATATTGTTTATATTGTTGTTATATATTGTACAAGCTGAATATTATATATTGTACATGCTGGATATTGTTATATTATTGTTATATATTGTACATGCTGGATATTGTTATATTATTGTTATACTGTATATTGTACACGCTGAATAATATAATTATATATTGTACATGCTGGATATTGTTTTATATTATTATATATTGTACACACTGGATATTGCTATATTATTGTTATATATTG